TTAACACTTGACCACCTTGCCAGTCTTCATCTTCCAGTTGAGGGAGAAATAAAGATATTTCACTCAAGTTTACAACATTATCAACTATCAACAACCAACTGTATTCGCCTTTGAAATTTCTGAACATTTTTGCAATTTCCCTTTGAATAGTTTGTATTTTCATTTCTGTCGTTGCTTCAATTGAATTTCTGATGCTTGCTATGTTACTTTGATCGCAATTCACACGACCGGCAAAGTCTACATACGATTCCAAGATATCATGTAATGATCTTCCGTTTAAAGTCATGACAAAAAAGCTCGTACTGGAACGAAACCAACGTCCTGGAATACTTGTACCATAACGCTGACCAACTAATCCAACAAGCTGAGACTTGCCACTTCCTGGATTTCCAGAGATATACAAATAGGACAACGTACGGTTATTTCTCAGGGACAGAATCTGTAAATCTTCAAGAATTGCGTTAACAGTTCGACTTCGATTAGCAACCAAATGAACTGGTCTGGTTGGGAGGACTCTGAAAAGTGATTTCGCATGAATGGCATCTGTAAACCAATAAAAGGACACACCAATTAAGATCGCCCACCACCCAATGTAGATGATCTTCGTTAAATCAATAACATAGTTTCCTTTGAAAGAGTTTCTAATTCTTTCAAGGTCCGCTAGTGTGGATGGATTTAGTACTGTTAAACAATTCTCAACTTTTTTGCAAGCGTTGTCAAAAGCAGCTTCAGATATTCCATGTTGCGATCCAAAGTCATGAATAATATTATTTCGGAGGTCTCTCAATTCTTTAACCGCGTTCGCAACATGTCGCGCAAAGTGCTTGCTAAGCGCATTAGAACAATCCCATTCACTTCTTTTTCCTGATTGATACGAATTTAGGTATTGTTTTTTAACACCAGGCCTTGCCTTCTCCATGTTATACAATTGGTTACCAGATATACTAGTGTCGTCCCAAAGGCCTTTTGTTGTACCATACTGTTTATCCCATTCCTGTTTGAATATTTCCCGGAGACCATTACACACAGCAGTATTTATAATTTCCATAATGCAGTTGTAGTTCTCTTTCTCGTTTCTTGACGCCATGACTTGAACAGGAATTTAAACGGTATGGGAAATAGCCTATTGAGAAAGTAACCAAAGAATTTGGTAAATCTTGATGACAGCAACAGATTCGGCTATAAGTTGTTCCAACAAGACTAATACAGGCTAGTGTAACAAATAGCCTGTATTCCAATTGACATCACCAGTATAGTTTGTCCAAATATTCCCACAATTCTTGTAGGCTTAATTAACAATAGAATATATTTTATTTGCATTCATTTGAAAGTCAATTTCAGTTTGTTTGTCCAAAGTTGGAGCTATAAACAACAACCTTAATCTACGCTATTGCGTGCAGACGATGTATCAGACTCGTTGGAATAACTTGTTGCGAGTCTGTTGGCCTCATTAACCTTTAATCCTTTATTACAAGATAATAACTCATTCCAGACTTGTCAACATCTGCCAACAAGCAGTGCGACCACATCTTGGTGACAAACTGTGAGATTTTTATGCATGCATGTATATACCAGCAATGGGACAGATATGATTGAGTTTTCAGAAAACCGATAAATACCGGAGATTGAGGACTTTTCGCTATGAAAATTACTCTATCAAAACATGTCGGCACAGATACTTCGTTTCTCTGTAATATGTGTGTTTCTCGACCCGGCGTTGAGATAACGCTTAGAAAACTACTACAAGTTTTCTCGTACTTTCGGTTAGGTATATTACACGACCTATGAATGTTGCGCTCGGTCTAGTCCCTGGGGCGATGATGTCCTAGGAAACCTAGGAATCAGTCAACCCCGTCCACAGGGCTTTTCACTTGTGGCCATAGGCGCCGAAACCCTGGGTACCAGGTGGATTAATAAAAATTAAATCGTTTCACTCTAACGTTTAAATCATTTTTCATTCGTAAGAAGTGTATTTCAAAACCTAAAATTCGAACTCAACGGCGATTCTAAAGCCGATTTTCCACTTCGCCCGTATCGCAGCGAAACGTACTGGCGAGCATGCGCAGATTGAAAAGAGGTTTATAATTCCACGTACTTCCGGGTGTATTCGCGTATCAAAATAAAAAGTTCGTCGCAAATCAACTTTTTGGCGTACTACGGAAGTACTAACCAATCAACGTTCACGAAATTTTGAAATTTATAAACGTTTTTGATACGTTTCGGTACGGTACGCTTGAAGTGGAAAACCGGCTGAAGTCTCGCAGTACGTTAGCTCCAATTCTCGGCTTCGGTTCTGACGAACAAAATTCTCGGAGTTGAAATCCCATCTAGTTCTTATTTTCAGATTTAAAATATTCGGTGAAGACAAAACGAAGTGAGGGTGGGTTGGTTTGAAAAACTACTAATCTTTATGAGCACATTTCAGTCGCAGTAAACGATCTGGTGGGCAGGCCGTGGGTACGAGGTTGTCCAATCCTCTTTTCAACCTCTGATTGGCTGATGGGAGGTTCGTACCGCACCATATAAAATTGACAGTACCATCTCAGGACAAGTTTCCCCAGGCAGTCTTTAATCATTGCTGGAAACATGCTATTCACTCTGACCGGTTACAGCGGGGAATTTGAATACCCCATTCGCACCAAGTCCATCCTCTAATTTCATTGGCAGCCTCCTCCACAAGCCCTCGTGCCTGATGGGAAGGTCACAATTTCTAGAGTGTTTGTAGAATCTTGTGAACGAAATATAGGTGTTTTTTTAACAAACCTTGCACATATATTTGGGTATTTCGCTGGGGAGGGGGGAGGAATCAGGGTAGGGGTTTTAGCTGACCATAAAAGTTGTAAATTATAATACTCAGGATAATTATATTGTGGGATGGGTGGGTGGGGG